TTTTTTAATTTAAAAACATAAAATTTAAATTGGTAGTTAGAATGTTTTATTTTATTTCATTGGTAAGTTAAAATTAATGATTATGATCATTTATTTTTTATTTTTTATTTGGTATTATATATTTTTATAAATAAATATATATATTATTATATTTGCTAGTCCGGTAATACCACCGACATTACCGGTCGTACCGGTAATACCGCGTACCGGTGGGTAGACCGGTATGGCCACCGGTACGGTATTTAAAACACTGGTTGAAATAGTTAAGGACATATTTTATTTTTCCTTTTATATTTTGCCCCAATAGCTTTCCCGAATTAAATCATGTACCTCCTCTCTCATCTGTTTCATTTTCCCTCCAAATGAGACCGTACAAACAATGGAGGTTCCGCCGTGCGAAGCTCTAGACCTAGACGACTCCGACCTCCCTTCTCTTATCCGCCCTTGTAAACGGCGTCGCCCCTCCTCACCCCCCGCCGCCAAACCTCTTTCTCTGCCATCCTCCGCCCAATCGCCAGAACAGCCACCACCCTGCGCCGCTCGCCGCCGCACAATCCCTGGACCCGCCGGAACAGTTCAAGCTGCGATGCTAAGCAGAGATCTGGATCGTGAGAATCGGAACGTTTTCAACCGTAACAGAGACAGTGGCGAGAATTTTAACGGCAGCGGTCGTTGTGGCGGCGTAATTCCCACCCAAGACTATATACGGCGGGCGATGGAGGATACATCAGAATTTGACGACGATTTCAACGGCCACCCTTGGATTTCCGCTCTGAAGTTTCTGGGTAATGTGAATTAACGCCCTTGATATTCTTTTCCATCATTTAATTTTTATATTGTGCACACTGGGTTAAGCTTAGTTAAGTAAGTTCTGTGTATGCTTTGGTAGATTCGTCGACAGGTTAGTTAATTCTTTGTATATCTGTATATTTGTGTAGATTTGGTAGATTCTTTGATAGGTTGGTTAATTCTTTGTATATCTCTATATTTGTGTCGATTTCGATCATTTTCTCTGTTTGGTGTAATGGATGGTAGTGTAATTATGGCCTTCTTTCCCGTTTTGCAGGCGCCAATGATGGTTGTGTTAAAAGTAAGGCAATAAGCGCTATCAAGAAATGCCTCAATGGTGAAAAGGTTGATAAGGTATTGAATAGCAGAGGCAAGTCCAAGCATTCTAAACCGAAATTGTGTCTAGGGTGCTAGATACTTATATTAGATATGCTACATGTAGTTCCTGCATAAGTGATGCACTCAATTTTCCTTCTGTATTTGGATGTGATAAATGAAATGTGCATAAATGCCAAGTGAAAACCTAGCCAATTATTCTATTGAGGCTTGAGAAGAAAATGGAATGCAGTGAATCGGATTCTCGGACTGAAATAAAAGGAGCCATATTGAATACGAAATTTATATATCAAGTTTAAAAAAGTGTCATATCCTATATGATTATGTGATTGATTTGAATCTATACATTTGTACATTATTAATCATGATTGTTTATTTAAAGTAAATGTGGCATGTTTTGGATGCATAAATGTGGGAACCCCTTACTCATTAGATGTTTTGGTTTTCTGGAGCTAGGTTGTCGCTGTCATCAAATCATGTGCACCCAATGGTCTTGGGGGTCTGATAGTGTCATTGAAGGTATAAGTTATCGAAACTGTTAACACATGATTAATGTGTGATGATGTATTTATAATCATCGGCTTGGTCATTTTCAAACGTAGGATCCTACTGGTACAGTTGGTGCAAGTATTCATCACAAGGTCCTCTCTGGAAATGAGTTCGGGAAGAAATTAACTATTGGTTCAGTTCTAATACTTCAGAAGGTATAGCTCCAGTCTAGTTTTTCCTTGGCAGTTTCGAATAATGCCATTTTCAGGTTATATCCGATAAAACGGTGCCTCACTTCTTCTGTGTAATTTTATCATTTCAGTTTCTGATAGGAAGTTGTGTTTCAGGTTGCTGTTTTCGCTCCTGCACGATCAGCACATTATCTCAATATAACTCTGGGGAACTTGGTGCAGGTGCAATTATATTTCATCTGTTTCTTTTACTGTTAATCTCTCAGTGTAATGAGTTATATAATGAAGAAGACTTCTTTGTTAAAATAATATGAAACATATATAGCTGATTATATTATTTTCTATTATTACCAGGGTCTGCAGCAAATGCCATTCGCTATTTAATTACAACTAAGGGTTTACTATTTTGTAGATGCTATAGACTTGTTTTTCTTACAACGCTTCAGGTGTTCTGTCAAGATGGTGCCTCTACTTCAAAACTATATGACTCTGCAAATCCCATCCAATTTGCTGATCCTGGTGATGGTATTGGTACGTGCTCGGTTTTTTTTCCTTTCTTTGTTCTATTTTTGTTTCACTTGTCTTCTCTTTTTCATTCTTTTCCTCGTTTAACTGACATGTCTACTTGGAAGTCGAGAACTAAAAGCTTCCGACTGTCTTTTTAACTCTCCCAAGTGTGCGCGCGAAAAAAATAAATTGTTGGAGCAAGTTTTTGATATAATGCTGATATGTGTCGATAATTCCTTTAACATCAGATGCATCCCCAGAAAATTGTGGAAAAGCCAAGACTCAGCACCTGCAAAATTCAGAGAATTTGCAAAATCGTAGTGTAACCGAGACGCAAATTCTTTCAACTAAAAGTGTCCAATCAACACATAGAGCCCCCAACAATATAAGCAGATCCCAGAACGAGCTTATAAGTTTGAGCCCAGATGCTCTCGATGAAATACAAGAAGACATGCACAGAAACAGCATTGGTGCTGGCAGTTGCCAGCAACTTGTGAAAGGAGATAATCTCAGTGAGTTTGTAACCAACAATATGAATAATGAAACTGTTGCAAGAAATGGTGACAAGGAAATTCAAGGAATTAGTACAGTTCAGACTCAAAGTCAGCTTCTGAAGCCGAAAGCATCTCTGCCAGAGTGGACAGACGAACAGTTAGATGAACTTTTTGCTGGTGATGACGATGGATTTTGATGGGATTTTGTTTTAGTAACAGGGCAGCTAAGGGTTTTACACATTCAGCACGATCGAATCTTTTTGCAAATTAGGGATTCTTCTCAATTAGGGACTGCTAATTTCAATAGCTGGTACTTCATATGTTATTCCCAGTATGATCTTAAAGAACTTATTAGTGGTTGTGTTTTAATTTTTTTGCTTTCAGTTTGAACAATGTTTTCTGGCCGATGTCAGACAATCTTGAATTGAACCTAGATTAAACAACAAACAATATTTTCTGGACGATGTTTTTCTGAACATTTATTCAATTATTTCCTAGAATTTACAAATGTCAAGTTCAACAACGCGAATTTTCCAAGACACATGGTCCGTCGGCAGAGATACAACAACAACAATATAGCTTTTTTGTCCCAAGCAAGTTGAGGTAAGCTAGAGATGAAACTCTAAGAGAACCAATGGCAAGAGAAACACAAAATCAAAACAAAAAGAAGAGATTGGAGCAAAAGAGAAAGGAGCAAATGAAGCTCGACTGAGATCCCAAATTAAAATTTTCTAAAAAATATTGGTCTTAAATAAAATGGTGTAAGGGCGACGAAGCTCGACTGAGAACAAAAATTGAATGTGCTGATGCATCAACTCACTTGGCCAAAATCGCTCTACACTGAACAATAAATTAAATAACTGCAGCTCATTAGAATGGCTATTTATCAGGTCGTGCTGCATACATGACAAAAAACAGAGCCTCAACTTAAAAAGCTTTCGACTTCTAAACCCGAACGGTTCTTTGGTGGATTTAAACCCTCTTTCGCTAAACAGGAGACATATGTGAACACTTCCGTTTCTTCGTAAAAAAAACTACTGAAATAGCTTCTTCAGCCTGTCCAACGACTGAGCTGCTCTTTTGTTATTTGGCTCGAGAACAAGTGCGTAATGGAAATCTGCAAAAAAAGTCATAAAACAGCGATTGTGCAAAAATTGGATTAAATGACACTGCAGAACTTTAGATTAAGTAACATGAATTTCACCACATTGTGCTATCCAAAGATCAAAATGCATAAAGAAATGAAGATAATTTACTCGAATGAGGAAAAAAAAAGAAAAAAATTACAAAACCATCGCATTACATGCACCGTAATTTTCCAAGTATGACCAATAATATGTCCCCCCATATTACAGTATTAGTTTCTGACTAGCTAACAAGCAAAGGAAGTGAACTCACCTTCTATTGCTTCTTTGTAGTAGCCCAACATTTCCCGAGCTGTTCCCCTTCTCAAATAGGCCTTTACATTCTGCAAGCATGCCGGGATTAAAATCAAAACTAGTACATCTCTCACAAATGAAGAACAAGGAAAAAAGTGATAATACGTTCACTTCTTGAATTGGCGGTCAAAAGAATAATAGGAGGAAAATCCATAAACAGCATGTCAATCTTGGAAATATGGTTTGAAGATCAAAACTACTGGTACTTCATAGTAATTGAGACACAGAAGCCACAAACAAATTTCTATCAGAAGACCAAGGAAATAGAATTCCTCGATTTCTTGAATCGGTATACAAAACAGCGAATGAATAAATTGGAGAGATGATCATGCACAAAATGAAAATCTTTAACTTGTAAGGTCTCCAGAATGAAAATTAGTCTTCATAGGAATTCACAAGCACAAAAGCTGAAAGTATGGTGACAAAAAATCTAAGACCTAAGGAAACACATTCAATGTGATGACTACAAACTGAAAGATAGGGCAGGTAACCTTCTTATCGAGATCAACTGCTTGAGTACAATCCGCTTCAGCCTGAATGAAACTGGTAACAGAAAACTAATAAAAAACACATACAAAAATGTCGAAATGGTGTAATGAACTAAAAGCTTATGTGTGTTTCAATTACCTTCCCATCTCCAAATAAGCTGCAGCTCTGTTACTGTAATATGTTGCATTATTACTATTCAGTTTGATGGCCTCTGTATAAAATCCAATAGCTCGCTGCCATTGCTTGTCTTTGAATGCTTGATTGCCCTTGAGACGAGAGAATTAATGAGATGTCAAAATCACTTTATATTAACGTATAAAGGCATAAGCAATAGATTCCACTCTAATTCTATTTGCC